ATCTTTTTTTGTTAATGAAAATTATTATTAAAGTAGGTTAGTTGTTAATAGATATATCAGTCAAGTTGGTTATCTGTAATGTTGTATTGTTCTTGGTATTTGATTTAAGTAAGAAGTGGTATATATCGCTTGGATTCTTAATGTCACTCTTAACATTGATGGAAAAATCGTTAAGGAAAATATAAGACATTTCAATGAACTCTCTTTTAGATTTATTGCTCTCACGGTGGAGAATTGTAGTGTTCGTATAGTCCATGTGATGACCAGTGGAATGGACATGTTTGGCTAATGCACAGGGAGTCTTATCTTTTATCTTCGAATAAAGATTATTAATTGTTAGGGCTGATCTACAAGCCACATTAAGTTTAATGTTATTATTATTATTAGAAAAGCTATTTTCAAAACTTTTTAGAATCCTTGTCAACCCCGGAGTGATATCTCTGAAATAGGGTAATGAAAAATATTTATTGATAGGAGTATCCGAGACTGGATTCCTACTTAAGAAATCAGGATCAGCATTGTTAGTCACGATGGAAGGTGAAGTATCTTCGTTATGTATAGTGTTAAACAAAATCTTATTTACTAATGGTGTTGGATAAGAATTTGAAATAAAAAGTTTCAGAAGGATTTGTAGGTTTTTTGTATGAAATGATGGATCTGATAGTTTAATTACTCTATTTTTTTTTTTTATCTATGCCTATTAGTATAGTATAGTATGCCTATTTCTTTCACTTGTTCTATGTTTGTTTTTTCTACTTTAATATTGAAGTAGTTTTAAATTTATCACAGTTCATCTTTAATCCTATTATGCTTGATTAATTGTTTAAATATTTATTCATTTTTAATTTCACCGTTTTTCTATTAATAGTGCTATATGATCCACACCTAAATATGCCGACAATCAATGCAATGAAATAAGGACTAAGATTTCAAAATGTATACGTGAAACGTGTAGACACTTTATGAACCTGAAAATCTTTAAAAATTAATAGACATACTGACTCAATATAAAACCTATATTACTGCTGTGCAAGAAGTACGAAGATCGACTAGAAAAAGAATTTTTCAAAAGGAACAATGCGATATATATTACAGCTGTCATAAGACCAATTATGCATGCAGTGTCGCATTCATTGTTAACAAAAAAGCAAAGCATCTTTTAACTTCTAACCACTTCTAACCAATAAGCCCACGAGTATGTTATCTAAAAGTAAAAGGTATGATTTTTGATTTGGTGTCAGTCTCATAAATGTACAAGATCAAATTTATGACGACATACAGACGTCCCAGAAACGACATCAAGATCTAAATTGGAAATTTTATTGCAAAAATAAGGAAAGCAAATATATATAGTTCATACCTCGGAAAATGCAGAGACGCATGATGTTACTAAAGTCAATGCAAATAGAATGTTAGAATTTGCAGTTTCCAAGAGCATCGAATTACCATGGGTGGAAGTACCTACTTCCCCCCAAGAATATCAATAAATTAACAAGGTCTTCACTTAATGGAACAACAAAAATTCAAATAGATCACATCTTAATATAAATCAGTACTTCTCTAATATAGATTCAAACCAATTCTTGGTAGGTGCAAAAATAAGAGCAAGAATTTTAAACGCAAAAAAAGAAAAGAGCAAGAAAGGCACCAGTTATAATTTAAAACTCTTAAAAAAGCCCTACATATTCTAAAAGTATTAAAATAACCTGTATAATGAAAACACATTAGATGAAAATTAAACTGGTAGCGAGCAATGAGATATATGTAGAAGAACAATTAAGGAAACGGCAAATGACGCCCTAAGACCAGAAAAAGCTACTCCACGCACGTACAAATAACTTAGAAAGGAGAAAAAATGCGTGCATCAAAGAAAAAAAGCGGATCTTTGAATTCCAGGTTATACAAGAGCTTCAATTACTAAAGGAGCCAAATGAAACCAGAAAGTTCTATAACATCCTAAATAAGACAACAAAAAGAATGTAAACCACGGCTGACGATGTGTAGGGACAAAAATGGACATATAGTTAGTAACAGTGACGCAGTTCAAAGCCAATGAGTTAAATACTTCAAAGAACAATTTAGTACCGAAATGAAAAATGATGCGTTACTCCAAAGACCAAGAGATATAAACCACGTAGAGCCTCCTTCAATATTGGAAGTGAGGGAAGCAATCACACGCCTTAAAAATAATCCCCATAATAAATAAGTCCCCATTAGTGGACTGGATCCCTCCAGAGCTCATTAAACACGAAGAACAACAAATTTTAAAGGAATGGTGGCTTGCCATCATGTATCCACTGTACAAAAAGGAAAATTTGTTGGAATGTAAAAATTATAGGGATAAAATTCTTCTGAATACAATATACAAAATATTTTTAAAGGCCCTGTGCAGCCGTTACGTACGGTGAAGAATTCGTTGTAAATAACAAGGCGATATTATGCCAAATAACTCAACAAATGACCAGATGTTTGTGCAACGTCAAATCTTAGAAAAAGCCTTTTCTCAACTTTTAGTGGACTTGAAGTCAGCGTATGATAGCGTCCCAAGATGCAGATAATATAAAGTCATGAATGAAAATAATATTCCCCATAAATTAATTAAAAATTTAAAAAAAGAAACAACTATGAGTAAAGTGATCTGAAGAGTGTTCTGTCATATGCTTTGAAACATATGCAGGGTTACAGCAGAGAGAGGCTTTAGCGTGTCTTTACTTTAATGTAGCATTAGAAAAGACTATAAGTTACACCATTAGGTGAATGAGCCTTAATAAGTCAACGCAGATTATGACTTACGCTGAAGATTTGGTTTTCACCTTCTTAACGGCCACACAAAAACCACTATTATAATCGTACGGTAGTAAATAAGATTACCTATGTACGTTCTCTCCAAGCCATAGTGAGCCATCTGTGTTTACCTATCTGAGTTCTCTCAAGCCATAAAATTAAGGATACTGCTAATGAACAAATGTTATTTTGGATCAAACAAACGGCTAAAAAACAGAAATGTCAGCCAAATGGGAAACCGAAATTTAAACAAAAGAAGAATAAATGAAATCGTAGGCTTTCACGGCCAGAGTCAGAATTATAGTTTATTCGTCTTCCGGGTTTGGACCGTATCATTTGTGAGTGACCCAAAAGTGGGTTCATCTCGACGTTTCGCTACAATTGTATGTAGCTTCTTCAGGAGAACAAAGAAAAAGAAAAAGAAGACAGGAAGATGGGTAGTTAGCAAGGGTAACTCAGTTACTCAACGCAACCAGAGGCGAATACTAACTACCAAGATGGGCATTTGGTCACAGTAACTCAACTACTCAACGCAGCCAGAGGTGAAAACCAAATGCCAGGACAGGGATTCACGTCCAACAGTTCAGAACACTAACGCGTCGAGAGGCGGGGAGTGAATCCGACGATTACTCCGCTACCGCTCTATTTATAGTCGCGGTGACCTGTCGTGTCGGGACGTATCGGCACACTCCGTGGCGCGAACGTCAAGAAGCGCGCGCTGGCCAATCATGTGGCTGCATCGTGGTAGCGGGACCGGACGGCGGCTCTAGACTGAGATTCCAGATGGGAGACGAGTAGTATCCTTCCTCTCGATTGATATTATGTGGATTTTTTCGGATCTCTAGAGATTCGCGGATTTTCCTGGAATAAAAGAAGGGGCTCTTAGAAATAATATGGGTTTTTTCAAACAATATGGAATGACCGGTTTCTTGGCAGTGTTCTGCAACTGCAGAATGGAAGAAAAGACCTGATCGAATGCATCTTTGATGCTCTTGAATCCGAGTTTTGACGGAACGACCAGTTTCGCCAATATACACATGTCCACATGAACAAGGAATAGAATAGACACCACAGGAAGATAGGGGCGGTAATGGGTCCTTAGGAGAGGGTAGATATTGTGAGATTTTCTTGGGTGGTCGAAAAGTAGTCCTGATACCTTCTTTACGAAGAATTTTGCCAATCCTATCAGTGACACTTCGAATATACGGAAGAAAAGCCACAGGAGTATTACCCGAAGATTCTGAATTTGTCGTCCTAGGGTGTAAAGGGGGATGTAGATGTCGATGTGTAATATTTTGAATTGTGGACTTGGAGTAACCGTTGGCGACAAGGATTTTTTGCAGATGGCCAAGTTCTTCTCTAAGGTTGTCAGGTTCAGAAATCGATTTATATACTATATATATATATATATATATATATATATATATATATATATATATATATATATATAGTATATAAATCGATTTCTGAACCTGACAACCTTAGAGAAGAACTTGGCCATCTGCAAAAAACCCTTGTCGCCAACGGTTACTCCAAGTCCACAATTCAAAATATTACACATCGACATCTACATCCCCCTTTACACCCTAGGACGACAAATTCAGAATCTTCGGGTAATACTCCTGTGGCTTTTCTTTTTTGTGGCATATATATATATATATATATATATATATATATATATATATATATATATATATATATATATATATATATATATATATATATATATATATTTACATATATATATATATATTATATATATATATATATATATTTCGTTTTGTAAGGTATTTATGATTGCAAAATGCTCTACTGTATCCAGAGTTTTCTCAAAATACAACATACCAGGGCACGTGATTGTCATTTTTTATTATATTTTATTGCGTTTGAAAAACAGCAAAATAGTTCTAGTAATTTATTGATATAGTTCTTCTCACTGCTTTTTTTAGTATCTCATGTCTTATTGTGAGTGTACTAGATATTGGTAAAAAATTGTTTGTCCGCGATTATTCCTCAACGAAAAGATTTGTTAAAGGAATGTGATTTGAAGATCACCTATTTTAAAATAGAGATAATAAAAACATTGTCGACAGCAATTATTTGAAAATATAAAAATAGCTAAGAAAACAAAAGTTTTATATTCAGGAAGCTTTATTAAAAACTTTATTCAAGAAACTAAGATTACTTACCACGGTACGGTTTGCTTGCCAACTGATTTGAAGATCATTTATTTGTTCAACATTGTTTTGGTTCGGTTTGGTGACATTAATAGAACCAGTCCATTCATTCGTAATTATTCTAACTCTAAAAGTAAATTATACATGAGATAACAACTGATAAATTTAGATAGTCAACAAAATGTGTTTGTATGTGTATGTGTTTTATTGGCACTGGTTTGAACAACCAAATGACCAGTCAATAGTCAACAAAATAAAGTATGTATCATAAAGATGTTTTTGAGGTTTTTGAGTTTTTTCATCTATTATGTATAAAACGACATTCTACGTGACGCCAAAACTTTAGAACCGCTTTACCGATTTCATTTTTTTTTTGTTTTTAAAGTTTTCTAATACCATGTAGAAAGTTTTTACGGAAAGAAAATTTAATAAAATTGTTAGGTACTTTCATATTTGTCAGTATACTCCAGATGGGATCCAATTTGCCTGAATCGAAGGTCTTTGTGTAATCTACGAAACAGAGCAGCATTAAGTATATTGTCCCATTGCTATTTCTCTCATCTGTAAGGTTTTCACCATCTGCCCATGCGTTTCTTTTCTTAGACCTATTACATTGCTTAATGATAAATCATTTCTGACATTATCTACACTAGATTGTCAGAATACTCCGAAAATATAATTGGTGGTTATCAAAATGGATTAGATACTGAAAAAAGGATATGGCCTAGTGCAAAAAGACGACGGCACATGGAAAATCAGGAAAAACGACGAGGTTAATGAACCGAATGAAGGATATTGTAAAATTTGTGAAAAATCAAAGACTGTCATGGATGGGACATGTTCAGCGACAAGAAGGCACGAAAAGAACAAATAATATGTTACAGTGGAAGCCGGTAGTAAGGCGAAAAAGGAAGGCCTAGGACGAGGTGGTTGGATAACGTGGAAGACCACCTGAAAATCATGAATATAAGACAATGGAGAAGAAAGGCCCAAGAGAGATCTGAACGGAAGGACATAGCCAGACAGGCAAAGACCATGAAGGGTTATGATGCCGAAAGAAGAAAAAGAACTTATCAGGCCGTTTAGGCCAGTAGATGAACGTAAAATACGGCGATACCGTGTAACTTTCCGTGCCACCACTGAAATTGTATTATACTTTATATTTAGGTCGCCCTACCTCCAATTTACTTTTGGATTTTTGCCGTTGGTTTATTTTTATTTTTTAGGGGTGAAAACTACCACAATTAGAAAAAATCGGATAATTGTAAATTAAACCAGAAAATTGATTTAAATCATCTTTTAATGATGTGAATCGATGTCAATTAATATTAAACAACATAATTTTTCATTTCATCATAGTTTAACTCCCACATTTAACCCCCTAGAATAGTTATAATTAAAAAAATGAAATTTAGATTTAGATTATGGTTACCCTTCACTTTAAAAATGGGCTTTTGCAGTTGTTTTGTTTTTACTTTTTAGGGGTGAAAACGACCCTATTCGAAAAAAATCATATAATTGTAAATTCAAGCAATTTGGAATTATTTATTTATACAGTAGCACTAAATTTAGATTAATTTACTGTTTTTTTACCCTTATAAAAACCACCCCCTGTAAATAAATTTGAATAGAATTTTTTTTAGTGAAACTATAAATACAATATTTTTTTAATTAAAATGTTATGAATTTACTTTGTTTCAATGTAAAAAAGAACCCTTATTAGTTTGTAGGGTTGGGTGAAAATATGTACATGCGTTAGTAGCATTTATATCTTACAATGCGCCGGTATACGCGTTCTGATATCTCTTAAAATTTGTGATTGTTTTTTACTCCTAACTCGGTTAGCTTTTAAGCTATGAAGTACTTAAAAAAACCATTTTGTAGGATTTTTAGAACGTAATAAGATCATTTCAATTATTTTCAAATCCTTATTTTTAAACTAGTTGTAGTTGTAAGGACTTAAACGAGTTACTAATCACGAGTGTATGCAAACTTTGAACAGCCAAATATTAAACAATTGTTGTCTTACAGAAAAACAAAACAAAACGTTCTACGTTACTTGTTTAATTTTGATGCTAGAAACTGTTAAAAAAGCTTCTTTTAATCACTTTAAAAAAGTTTTTGACGAGTTTTCTTAGACAAGTGTCTTTGATTTGGAATTTGACAAATGAGACCCTACTTTTCATGAGCTACATCTCTGCTTCTACTGGTTTTACAGATTTCGTAGATATACCATTTTTTTGTTTTTTTATAGGCTACATTTTTACTATGACTGAAACATCTGAAAACGTGGTGTTAGTTAGAAAAATGAACATTTTCAATCTCAAATAACTTAAAAAGTATTGACTTTACCAAAAGTAGAGTAAAGGGTAAGAGTAACCTAATAATGAGGAAAATTACTCTCCAAAACCGTCATTTACTGATCTAATTCATCTATGATCCACATATTATGTTGCACGTGTCCAGTATTACATCTACACCAATCTCGCCACTGCTTTTATAGTCTTCGCGTGTACCCCATGGATCTCTGGGGTATTTTTGCTTCTTAATTGTTTGGGAGCCTTCTCTACTTTTGCTTGTAATATTATTGGTGTTGCATCTCTAATGGTTTCTTATATTATAAGACTGGAGAATTCTATTCTAAAAAACACATGGTGGTGAAAAGCACACAACTAAAACGAAAAGAGATATACAAAGGTACGTAGGTCTCCCCAGATCAGGAAGGAATAGATCATGTTATGATTGAAAGTAAATATATGGATATCGTTCAGAAGGTAAGAAGTATGAGAGGAGCTGAAATCGACTCGGACCTTTACCTCGTTAAAGTTACATGTGGAAGGAAGCTGGAAGAAAAAGAGAAATCGAACAATAAAACAAAGAGAAAGTACAATATTGAGAAACTTAAGGAAGTAGAAATAAAGAATAAATATGAAGAAGAAATAAATAAAATTCTACAACAATGTGACCAAAATTTACAGACAGATCAAGCCTGGGAACAAATTAAAACTACCGTAGGAGAAGCTAGCGAGAAAATAGTTAAGTGCGACTCCAAGAGAAGTACAAACAAAGATTGATTTAACGAAGAGTGTCAGGCGATAGCACAGAAAAAGAAGAAGATCAGACAACAAATATTAACAGATAATAGAGAGTGTAAAAAATAAGAATATAGAATTATTCGAGGAAGATTGAAAGCTCTGTGGAGAAGGAAAAAGAGAAACCACAATGGGTTGAAATTAAAAAAGATAAAAGAGAAGTTTAAAAACAAAAAGGTGAGGCAGTTCTATCAAGAAGTTAAAAAGATGGGAGAAGGTTACCAAAGCCACTGTGGTTATATGAAAGGTAAAGACGGAAATTTAATTAGCGATCCGGCAGAAATAATGACGAAATGGAAAAACATTTTGAAGAATTATTAAATGGTGAGGAGGACCACGAAGCAGTAGACAACTGGACAGTTGGAGAAGATGCGATAGTTTAAAGGCAGCCTACAGAGGAGAAGGGGGTGACAACAATACAAGAAATGAAAAATAACAGAAGTCCTGGTAAAAATGACATATGCATAGAAATGATCAAGTTTAGTGGAGAATAACTACAAAGAAAAATATATCAGCTACTAGTGCAAGTATGGGAAAAGGAAGTAATGCCATCGGAGTGGTATGAGGCCCGTATATGCCCTCTGCATAAAACAGGAGACAAACTGAAGTGCGACAACTATATAGGTATAGCCTTATTAGATACGGTATACAAAATCTTGGCAAGAATATTGAGAAATAAACTAAATTGCTACACGGAAAGAATCCTGCATGAATATCAGGACGGCTACTGTCTACTGTAGACCAAATCTTCTCATTAAAGGAGATACATACGACTTGTTATGAAGGTAAAGTTCCCCTGCATGTTTTGTTTGTGGATTTTAGACATGCATATGATAGAGTCGATAGAGTCAAAATGTATCGAGCAATGAAACATTTGGGTATACCAAAGAAATTAATCCGACTAGTTAAAATGACACTTAATAACTCTACGTCTGAAATTGCTTGGCAGGGTCACATATCAAATCAATTTACAGTTGCAAAAGGCTTGAGACAGGGAGATCCTTTATCCACTACATTATTAAACTTAGTATTAGAAACTGTAATCAGAAAATGCAGCATGAAGGTGGAAGAAACGATCATGAAAAATGAGCACCAGTGCTTGGCATTTGCTGATGATCTAAAGATCCTAGCAAAAATCAAGAAAGAATTAAAAAAAGTTGTGAAGAAAATCATCAAAGAAGCACAGAAATTCGGATTGGAACTAAATGAAGACAAAACCAAATATATGATCATGGGAGAGACAGAAGGGAAAAAAGAAGACTTCAGTGTGAGGTCAGTAAGTGGTAAAAGCCATAGTTTTAAAAGGGTGGACAAATTTGAATACCTGGGTGTAGTTTTTGATGAAAATGGAAAAGAGAAATGGGAGCTCAAAGCCAGAGTAGCAAAAGGAAATAAAAAAAAATTAGGTGGTTTAAGAGCCCTACTGAACTCAAAATACGTTTCCAGACAAGGTAAACTCAAAATATATAAAACAGTAATTCGACCCACAGTAACATATGAAGGTGAGACATGGACAATAAATAAGAAGGAAGATGATACTCTGGAAAGATGGGAAAGGAAAATATTGAGACGCATATTCAGAGGACGGAAGACAGAAGATGGTTGGGAGAGAAGAACCAACAATGAATTAATGGCTTTATACAAAGAACCTACCATTACCAAGTTCATCAAGGCATGAAGAATCAGATGGTTGGGACATGTGGAAAGAAATACATCAAACAGAATGCCTCAACTAATAATAACTAGAAAATTAATCGGCCCCAAAAAAAGAGGTAGACCCAGAACGAGGTGGATTAGTAAAGCGGAGGAAGACCTTAAACACATGAAGGTAAGGGGCTGGAAAATAAAAGCACAAAATAGACGCGAATGGAGAAATATTGTACACCAGATCCTTCAGAGTAGTTAAGAATGTTATATATATATATATATATATATATATATATATATATATATATATATATATATATATATATATATATATATATATATATTTAAGTTAAAGTTTTGTTTAAAATATTTGATGTTAATATTAGGATTATATTGTAAAAAAATGCCCTAGGCCTTAACGGCCTGTTGTGCGTAAAAATAAAAAAAAAATTATAGGGCTGATGCATCTTTAGAAGTGTCTTTGTAGAATTCTTCCTGGGGCACAGTGAACGACAGACAAAGTCATGTCTACACGAAAGAAGAAGAAAATTATCTTGTCCTATTTTTGCGTTAAAGTCGCCCATTACTACTGTGGTATCCAACGTTTGTTAAAATTCATTGTAGAACTGTTCAATTTCCTCTTCTTCTTTGTTAGCAATTAGAGCATATATCTGAATTATATTGAAGTTAGACTAAGATGTTTCTAGCTGAATGGTAATTACCCTATCCGACATTGGTAAAAAGCTAGTTACAGATTGCTGGATGATCGGGTCAACAATTATCGTCACTCCGTTTCGATGCTGTGTTCTAGTTGATATTAGAGTATTATATTCTTGTATGATTAACAGATATCTCTCCTGAGTTGAGCCATCTGGTTTTGCTCATTCCTTAATTGCTTATGTTAGGTTTTTGCATTTTGTGCGTTATATTATGAATCTTACCTCACTCGTATATTGATTTGTCGTTCCATGTGCCTAATTTCATTTCTGACCCGAAGATTCTTCACACCCTTTGGTCGTTTAAGACTTTTTCTTCTTTAGGTGCCGTGTCCGTATTCAAACGTTCTGAAACCTTTCCCTGTCGGCTGCTGCGCGAAATGATTCTTTTACTGTGGAACCATATCATTGTCTAATATTACGCAGCCATGAAAGTTTCTTTCGACCAATCCATCTCTTTCCTTCCACTTTTCCTTGTTATATAAGGCGAAGTAAATGGTATTTAGGTCCTCTAATTATATGGCCAAAGTATTCTGTTTTTCTCCTCTTTATGGTGTTTATGAGCAGACGTTCTAAATTGATCATTTGAAGAACATCTTCATTGGAAGTGTGCGAAACCCACGATATCTTTAGGATGCGTCTATAGCATCACAATTCGAATGCTTCTAACTTGTTTAGCATTGTGGTTTTTAACGTCCATGTCTCACAACCATACAATAGGATGGACCACCACATAAGATTTCAGGATTATCTTACGAATATTCATCGACAGGTTTCTGTTGCATAAAACTGGTTTCCAGGTCATAAAAGATTTACGTGATATTTCAATCCTGGTTATTATCTCTTAATCAGAGTCACAAGTTACATTTAATTAGCTGCCAAGGTATTTGAAATGATTTACCCTTTTGATCTCTTCTCCATTAAGAGAAATCAGACCTTGATCTATATTGATCTTTCCAACTGCCATCCACTTTGTCTTTGAAATGTTAATTTTAAGGCCTCTCCGATAGCTTGCTTCACTGACTAGATTTAGTAATGTTTGGAAATCTTGTAAATTTTCTGCAAGAATGGCTGTATCGTCAGCGTATCTAATATTGTTGATTACTTTTTCACCTAGTCTTCACCTTGTCTGTCATCCAGAACCTCCCCAAAGATTTCTTCAGAGTACAGATTAAAAAGAGTGGGTGACTTTATTGTTTTTGGCTTGCTGTATTGCCTTTTTGACTTTCGAATTCAGTATTCTGGGACCTCTGTCTAACTGGTTGTCACAGACAGTATTTGGAGCATTTTCTCTAGAAGCATCGTCAAAAAGATCAGAGATGTATCTCTTCCATCCTTTGCACTGTTGTTCGTGATCACAATTTTTTTCCGTCCGCGCTTTTAAGTATGTGAGCATTTTTCTGCTTTCTAATTCCGGCAGTATATTTAAGTTTCTTGTGAAGGTTGAAACTGTCATGCTTTTTTTGGGGTATTTTATTTCTTTACATAAATTTTTAAGCCAGGATTCTTTGGCTTGTTTAATTTTTCTTTTTATGCGTTTATTGATTTTACGGTATTCGATAATATTTCTATTTTTGTGTTGCCGTCGAACTTCCATCAGGTCTAGAATTTCTTGTGTCATCCACTCATTTTTTGCCAACATGGTAGGAGTTTTAAAAGACTTTTGTAAGTTCTTTAAAATCTAGTTTTGAATATCATACCAGCATTCGTTAATGGTTCTGTTGTCGTTTGGTATATTTGATATTCTGTGTATTTTACTATTTATCTGCTGTGATATGTGTTCGCGCGTTTTAGGGTTTTTCAGGGGGTCGAGATATATCTTACAAGGCTTAGTTGCCTTTGTTAATTTCTTTAATATAATTTGTATTCTGGAGCAGAGTAAATTGTGAGTTGAGTTTATGTCGGCGCCGGGGTAAGTTTTTACATATTTAATATTGTTTCGAAATCGGTGGTTTATTAGGATATAGTCTATTTGATTCCGTACTATTCTGCCTTGATGTCCATCTTGACGGGATTTCCACGTGTAAAGACGCCTTTCTGGAAGTTGAAACCAGGTATTTGTAATAGCGAAGTCATTTTCTTGGCAGAATTCTATTAGACGTTCACCTCTTTGATTTCTCTCCCCAAGCCAAACTTTCCGGTGATGCCCTGCGTCATCTTCTGTCCAGCTTTAGCGTTAAAGTCACCCATAATTATTATTGCTTCGTGTTTCTTTGTTATTTTTAGCACTTCTTCTATTTGATGGTAGAATTCTTCAATATTCTGCTCATCTGCGTCAGCAGTGGGAGCATAAACTTGGATGATATTTATATTTACAGGTTTATCATTTAGCTGTATTAAAATTGCTCTGTCTGATATTGGGATGAAGTTAGTGACATACTTATTAATATGCTGTTTGATAGTTATTGCTACTTCATTTCGACGCATATGGTCTTGATTTCCAGAAAAATAAAACGGCGTGACCATTTGCAATGAAATTCCCTTTGTTTGGCCATCTTGTTTCACTCACCCCCATGATAGTAATATTTAGTCTTTCCATTTCAGAGAGTAGATTTCTCAACTAACCGGCTTTATATAAGGTTGTTACATTCCATGTAGCCACTTTATATGGATTCTTTATTTTCATCGTATGCCTTGTGATGTTTTGCTCACAGGAATAGGAAGAGCGGAAGAGGACTAAATAAGACCGGAAGAGGACTAAAAACCACATTTAAGTTTGTCTTAGCCATGATAGTTTGTACTAGAAAAATTATTTAATAAGATAGTTTTTTGTTGCCTGATCGCAGTTTCTCAGTCATGTGGCCATTATTTTGCTTCTACCTATAAATTTCACTTTAAAGACATTAAAAATGCTATTTTTTCAGCCTTTAAGCAGACTGACTTAGCTGTTTTCCGAAATCAAAAGTGTATATCTCAGTATCGAAAACTGCTTAAGTTCTGCCTCCAAGTATACAGTATTGCACCTATATCAAAGTCATTGCTACTTGGCGAAATAATAAGTTAACAATCTTCAATCAATCTCAGAAATATGGACACTTGCTGACTTCATGAAAGTCTATTTATTTTTGGAATATTTAATTCGTGATAATCATCCTACCAAGAGGACTATTTACAGTGTGATGCATAAAATGGAATTTAGTGAATCAGCAAACAATAAATGTTCCCCAACAAAAAAAATCACTCATTAGTCGATAAAATGCAATATCTACCAAAAACGTTTGTGAGAGTATGCAGAAGAATCCAAGACAGTCGATCTCACGTTACTCATAAGAACTTGGACTTTCGCAGAATATAACTTAACAAATTCTTGGACCTGACTCAGTAATTAAAGTAAAATCGGAATGTTCTCAGTTTCCAAGTCATTTAAAATTGTAAAATAGACATAAAGATTTATTTGTTTATTGTCAACACTTGAAGGTGCATCATTCGGATCTTCACCAAAGATTTAAAAGTATTTTCTACTTGAATATTCCCAACTAATCGTTAAACCCCTTTTCCAACCCTCATTACAAAAAAAAAAGAAACCGGCTAGAAATTAGTACTCGTTAGAATTTGCGTTTGCTATACACAAATATTGAGCCCAATACAAAAGAGTTTGGGAACCACTGAACTATTCAATAAGTTTTAAGAATTAGCCGAAGCCAGAGCTATAGTCACTGTAAAATTAGAGGTCTGCGGTGAGTAGAGCATCTAGACAGGTCAAATGAAATCTACCTTTTGATACTTTATTGGCGAAGCTTAATAGCTTAATAGCGCCTTAATGCCAATGATGATGAAAATTTGAATCGTATTAAAGGAATTCTCCAAAACATACATGTACGCTGGCTCATTGCTACAAATAAATTTTTCTTTTGCTTCTGTTACATACTATAGTTAATTTTAAAGTGAAACTTACGTCTGTGTTCCAGTATAATGGTTTTGGAAAAATAAAGATGAGGTATTAAGCTCGAAGTCACAGCTTGCATTAAACTGTGGAAAGGTTCAACTAAAATTAAACACAGCAAATGCATCACTATCTTGACTTATCTGTTTTATTTCTTTTACTTGCCAATCTGGAATTCCATAAACTTGGGTGTTGTGACCCAAAAAGTAAAGCCTAAAAATAAAGAAATTATTATTTTGTAGGAGAAAATGATACAAATATAGGTAAATCAGATATTTGTATGTAATGTATGTACTTAAACACGATATAAAGCTTCTAATATTACTAGGATTACTACTTAAATTTTCAGAGAAAGAATATTTTTAACTAGTCTGTTGTATAAGTTTTTACTTAAAAACAGAATGCAGAAGATTTACAGTATATTTACATGTATGTATTTATATGTATGTATATTTACATATTATTGCTTATTACCTCAAAGTTGATTTATTTTATAGAATATAAAAGAAGCAAAGAGAGCAAAAAGGATATGCTGTTTCTAGCACATTAAAGGACCTGCTACTTCATGATGAGAAAACGTATTAAATCGCCTCAGATAACCGTAACTCTTTTTAGAGACGTTTAGCTAAATTTGTATTATATAATGAGTGAATAACTTATTCACTCATTCTCATATATATATATATATATATATATATATATATATATATATATATATATATATATATTAAGCTGAGAAAGTAATAGATATTTACTGATCTAGACAATAAATTTTATCATTTAAAAAAATCTAATTTTTAAATACAGGTTCATTAATAAGATATTAGTTATTACTACAAGTAAATAAATTTTAAAATTTCACAAATAAAAATTACATTAATTTCGGAACATATTGACATCTAGTCACGTTCAGCTGTCTTTAAATTATTTCCTGTCACCTCAGCCAGTTGGTATGTGTCGTTTCAACTGACAACTACCACGTGCCGATATTCGAGCAGGGAGACATGTAGTCCCTAAAGTAATTTTAAAAATATATCCATTGTCATTGACCTGGAGTCAAAACATTATTAAATGTAAAATTTGGAATACTGTAAATCCATACATGGAGGTCTTATAGACAACTTTACTGTTAGTAACAAATACAGAAATCACTGAGGATGACCTGTCCAGATTGAAAACGTTCTACCAGAATTTAAATGTTGACGACACTTTTATAAAGTTTTAAATATTTGTTTGTTTTTATACCACAATACACATGTGTGAAGTGTTTTAACTGCTGTGTTTTTTTTAACGATGGTATACAGCCAATTACGGGGTTTTTCCCATTAATTTCATATAGTAATTGCGAAATTTTATTTTTATAACAAAGACATAATTTAAGATTATAACAATAATATAAATTAAATATAAACAAATCGTCGAATAAACGTAATTTATTTTGTTGCAATTAGTAGTAGTAAAATATAAAATACAAAATGGTAAATCTTATATTGTTATAAAAAGTATTGCATAAGATATTCAAATGTTGCAGAAACACGCTATTTTTATACATTTTACAAAAATATGTATACGCATACACATTTTTTCTCCAAAATAATTGACGTTCCATAACTTTGGTGTTGTTCATATAATAAATCGCAAATACATTTATACCTGCCACTTTCAAAATTGACCAAAGTAATGTAATTGGCCACCTTCTACTATTTTTGGAAGTATTGTGTAAACTACATAGTTGATTCAGAGTATCGCCTTTTTACGGTACATTTCGTCTTCTTGTAAAATTGTTGTTTATTTTCTATTGCGAAATATGATCGATTGTTGGTATATGATGCATTGTACTGATAAGCATAACACTCTTACCTACTTTTGGAATGTAAGAGACAATAGTTGATTTTTTGGAAGCAAGTATGAATAAATATTGGTCACGCCTCTTCACACTTATCAATTCAGTATCAAATCGGATCAATTAACCCATTCACTACATCATATGGTGAAATGCTAAATAACAAAAACCGATCGGGTTGCTTGTTAGTATATATCTTCATATTGATTGCATAAAATGTGTTGAAATCAGTCAACATAAAAATCATCAAGGTCAAGATTTGTGTCCTTAACAATTAAATTTAACATTTCACTGGATATGAAGCATTCCTAAATAACAGCATCATTAAGCTAATAGTGACAATGTCCTGCAGGTCCTGTATTTTATGTTTTTATAATAATATGTGTACGTCTGTTTACATACCCGAGAATTTGCTGTTTTGTATCACTTAGCTTTGTTATCTTTCCCCGCAGACTCTTTTCCTTCTTCGTGGAGTTTCTGTCAAGGTATATTTCTTCAGTAAATAGATCGTCCAAAATAATATCTTCGTCTTCATCATCGCTGCTTTCAAAAAGCTCCTGCTCGTTTTCATCGTGATCTGCTTTTTCTCTGTCAAACTCATTTCTGCGAACATTTCTTCCATAATTTTCGAGAGGAAAGCTTGCTTCTTTTCGTAAAACATTTTGAAGAATAAATGTTGATGCATATTGTACAAAAAGGGTGTACAGAGATATATAGATAGATAGGTTTATTGACAATTTTTACATAGTAAACACTATATGACATGTTACAATAGAAATAAGTCACTTTTGTATACTAAGAACTAATAAATAATACAAGAACACATGATAAAACATATACAGTGAAAATTAGATATATAAAAAAAATATATATATATATATATATATATATATATATATATATATATATATATATATATATATATATATATATTATATATATATTATAAAGAAACAATTCAGTAAGGCGTAATATAGTTTTTATAAAAAAACGACCACACTAGGAGCTCAAACAAACAAATTCTGTATACTATAGAAACAATGTTGAAGCAGGAAGTGTTTTGCTAGTTTATAAAATTATTTAGAATTCATTGCCTTAATAACAATATTTTTGTTTACGTTTAAAAAACAATTATACAGATTATAATCTATTGTATTAACTTGTGTAACACACAATCTGGAATATGGTATAATGATATGACTTTTATTTCTTTGTTGTAATGATGTTGTATATTATTGTCAACTTGTATATTATTGTGAACAGTTAACAAAGTTTCAAATATATATATATATTAAAGGTAAAGGAAGAATGCCATACTTTTTAAACAAGGGTTTACAGCTGGCGCGATATTCTGCCGAGTCAATAATTCGGATTGCTGCTTTTTGAAAAGTGAAAACTTTATATGCATTGGCATAGGACAAGTTTCCTCAAAGAAGTATGCAATATGTCAGGATACTATGAACCATTCCAAAATAAAATGACCTAAGAATATCTCGACACAGAAGTAGCCAATCTGCGCATAGCAAAAACCTGTGAGGCGAGCTTCTTACACAATCGTTCAATATGGTGCGACCAGTTTAACCTTGTATCCATAGTAACACCTAGTAACTTTACTGGTTCAGATGGTGTAACCCATCCATCAGAACTAAATACTATTATCTGGGTTTTCTGCTCGTTTAACTTAAGTTTGTTACAGTTAAAACAGGATTTTGATTTTTCTAATATTTCCTTACTGTAATCAGTTTTACCTCTACATAATAAGGTCATCTGCAAAAAGAACACAGTTGGTGTTATCCAATGCACTTGGTAAATCATTGATATATATATATATATATATATATATATATATATATATATATATATATATATATATATCAACAAGAATAGTAGAGGTCCCAAAACTGATCCTTGTGATACTCCGGTTAAAACTGGTAAAGGATCAGATTCTTGATCATTAAATGCATGTGTGGGAAATTATGAGTACAATTTCAATGTATGTGGACTGTATTACATAGGGCTAGTTCAAATAAATTAGGATATGTAGTAAATGGTTATACAGACAATCGCAAATTTAGCAAATAGCAAAGTTTATACAAAGTCTTACCAATATTTCTGCTCCACACACTCGCGGTTATTCTTCATACGCGGAATCTGTCCGGGCATCGGTTGCTGAACATGTGTTTCGCGATACTAACACTGAGATCACGAGATAGAGAACACTTTGCGTCTGTACACGATTTAAAATAGTACTTGCTGTAGTTCTCGCGTAACTAAAAGCGGGAGAGAGATATGTAGTTAGCGGCAGTCAACAGTAGAGAGTGTCTATTTAGCGATAGATAACAGCCAAGAGAGCGACTGTTCTTCTCGATAAGCAAAGGCAAGAGAGAGAGAGAGAGAGAGAAAGAGAGAGAGAGAGTGTGGTCTGCCTAGCGAGACTCAGCAGACGGAAGAGCGATTGTTCTTAACGATAGTCAACAGACAAGAGAAAGTCAACATCCTTCTATCACAGAAGTGATAGAAGGATAGTTAATAATACAGCGAAAAAATGACATGCTTTTTGGCAAGTGAAAATATTGAACACATACAGATACACTTAAAGTAATACCTATTAACTTTTATGCTTTTTTAACTTAATTATGCTTATATCTTCTTCTTAACGTGCCCTATCAAGTCCCCTTGACGTTGGCGATTAACATGGCGAAACTGTCTCTGTCTCGAGCTATTCTAAATAGTTGCTCAGCTTTCTTTGTTTCTTTCTTATATGCTTATATACTATACTTAATTTTGCTTTCATTGAATAATGAAACACCAACCTGACTTATTCCGATAAATATTAGCAGTTCTTGATACTATTCCGTTTACCTCTCACCTCGCTTCATTACAATATAATGGAAAACCCTATTATAGATATATCTAATGCATTTCAATGAAGTTAATTATTAGAGCCTCTCCGTATAAATGAACAAATTTATTTTATTACGGTGTTTCCTGATTTTAAAGGACTAAAGTGCACCGAAGTATAGATAAATAAATTGTAGACAACTAATAGGGACACCAGATATCTGTTGCCATCGCGTGCCTTAGTCTATGGACCAATTAGCACGTCGATACGCATCGCCCCGCCATTCTACCTGAGGCGAAATTTACGATTGGCCAATGGACTTGGAAATGCACATATGGATACGAAACAAAGTGTATAAAAAGGGTGCATTTTCCAAGCCATGGTTAGTCAAGCCTAGCTTTACTTCGTCCCCATGTACGGTCTCCTACAACTGAAGGCCTCCTTTACGGGGCTCTGTTCCCTGCTTGTCCTGAGACTTTTTTCCTAGGACCCTATTCGACATCAAAACCGAGTTTCATTTAACCATCCTACCAAAATAAGATGGAAACGAAGAGGCAACTTTGGATTGACTAGCCGAAGCCCTCTGTAGAGCATCTAGGGAGATGTTTTCTGTGAAGACCCTAACCTCCCTATGGTGACACCGTAAAGTACGTAAATATTTAAATTTTAATTTTATTGTAAGATGAGATCTCATGGACGACACCGTACGAACTGGAGAATAATCTATGCATGTAAAAATTATACCTAATAATAAATTCATTTGTAAATTAAATAAAGCTAAAAAACGTAAAAGTATTAATCCTTTTAACTCTAGTATTATAAAATTATATATAAATATAATTACTCTTCCACCATGTCGTTATAATATCGTATATCTTTATCATAATTTAAAGGATTGTAACTTGGTAAATCCAATTCAGGAACTCCAATCGTCAGAGCCTTTTGAGCACAATCAAGGATTTTACGAGCATCGTCCAAGTCGCTTGCTAAAAATAAACAAAACTTTAAACAAATAGAAGTGACGTTAATAAAATAGATATATACATTATTGAGTTTTTAACACATTGTGTAGCACCATCAACTGATGACCTTAAATAAATAAAATGCCTGGTAAAATTAATATACTTGCAATACTTGTCATGTGTTAAAATGCGAAAGATTAAATTACTTCAAGTCATAATGAAAGAAAAAGTACAGGGCAAAAGATTAGTAGGAAGACGTCAGAACTCGTGCCTGAAAGACCTGAGGAGATGGTACGATCGCTCATCGGCAGGAATTCCTAAACGGCTATGACCTTGATAATATCTGCGAGTCATAAACTGCAATAGTCCAGTTAAAATTCACACTGTTGTGTTTTTGTTGAATCAGGTTAAATATTTTTCTAGTAGAAACTATATATATATATATATTATATATATATATATATATATATATATATATATATATATATATATATATATATATATGAATATATATATATATATATATATTATATATATATAAGTGAACTGACGATAGCAATTAAAGTAAACTGTATACCCAAGCTTAATCAAGCCATTCATAGCGATGCTGGGAATATTTATATTCTGATATAAGGTTGAATGCTCGAATAAATGAATTTTGATCAAATAAACGGCAAATATCGAGCACAGTTTAATTAATTTACTATTGCCCAAGTACTTTTGATCCCTAGATCATCTTCAGGGGCATCTGAAATAAGCCTAGAAACGTTTTTTTTTTTTTAACTAAAGAAATTAATTAACTTCGATAAACGTTTATAGATTTACGTCGTCAATTGCGGCCTATCCGACAAGAATAAAATGTTATAAACATAAAATGGTACATCACACTACACTACACAAGGACAAACACTTTAAAATTTTTAAAAAATAGGCGAAGCTACATTGTGTACAGAAGCCGAAGACAAAATGGCTCACGGTCTAAAGGAAATTTTGAGATGACATGTGACAAATGACTGCTTGGATGGGCAGTCACAATTATAGATATATAGATTATTAACCAAAGGTCCAACTGGCACTACTATAGGAAGTCAACTGATGAAATATAAAATTATATAGAATATTTTTAAGTAGATTGAATTCCAGATCTCACACTTAAACCTGTCTATAATAATTAGGGTGTTAGTTTGAGAGCAACTGAAGTCGACTTAAAGTATGAATGCAAGAAATAGACTAAACAATATATTAGACAGTGGGTAGTTGACTACAATAAAATGGTCTATCAAGCACTATCAGTACTGTAGAAAAGAAGAAATCTGACTATGTAATTAAAATACTAAAAATTAAAAATTAAAATTGAAAGCAAAGTATATAAATGGGGTATAATCTAAGTAGTTCAGTTGAACACACAGTCAATGGTAGAACTATAAAATTAATATGGATATACTCAGTGCAGGAAGTCTAAACAGCCGAGCTGAATCCCCTACGAGGTGAAGCTGTAATAAAGTTTTTAAAAATAGGTTTAAATTTAGTACAATTTAAATTAATTTGAGTATTAAAACAGTGAGAGTTTCTATTTGTTTCCCTTGTAATATCCAAATCTTCCAATAAATCCAACTCTATATAGTTTTTCTTTCTACTAATGTCATGTAAGATAGATGAACCAGAATTGATGTTAAAATTGTATTTACTGGATAATAAGTGTTGACCAAAACTTGAAGAGTTTGGTCTTTTCAAATGTTCTGAGATTCTAGTGGATACCTTTCTAATGGATCTACCTACAAAAGATGCAACACAATCATCACATTTTAATTTGTAAATATCACTTTTGTCAAGTGTGTTCATCCTATCTTTGGTGTTGATTAAGAAGGAACCTAAAGAGTTATGTGACTTGAAGAAATTTCGATGTTATCAATTGTAGAAGTAAAAAGTTTAGATATTCTTTTGGAAATGCTGCTAATATAAGTGAAGGAGAAATATCTGATGTATTTTATTTATTCCAATCTTTCTGAAACATCTATTTTTAAGTCCAATCCTCCAATCCATAAAATAATACGGAGAACATGTAGCATCTCAGAAGTCTTATCTTTAAAGAAATTGAAGTGTTCCTGCTGTAGAGTACTTTTTTCATTTTGTGGAAAGAATTTCTTGTTGTCCTATTCTTGCCTTAATCTCTTCTGTGTATTCATTATTTTCGTAAATTATTGTACCCAGATATTTATATTTTTCAACTTTTTTAATTTGTTCTCCATATATTGTTATGTTTTCTTGGCGCTGTTGGGCTTTTGTAATTACCATAAATTGTGTCTTTTTGTGTTTAGGTACAGTCCGTTTTCTTCAATGACTTCTACCACTCTGCTAACCATTTGTTGTAAATCCTCAAGACATTTCGCTAATAAAATAGTGTCGTCGGCAAACCGTATATTATTGAAACGTCGGCCATTTACTTTTATTTCCATATTTAGTTCTTCTAGTGCTTTCTGGATTATTTCCTCCGAATACAAATTAAACAATGTGGGAGACAGGACACAGCCCTGCCTGACGCCCGTCTCAATCTGTATTTCATTTGAAAATACGTTGTTCTCTTTTACCACATCGATCTGATTATAATAGATTGCGCTAATGATCCTGATGTCTCTCATATCTAAGTTTTTCTTTTTAAGTAATTCGATAAGACGGTTATGTCTGACCTTATCGAAATCTTTTCTGTAATTCAAGAAACACATATATACTGGCTGATTAACATCTATGCACCTTTGCACAGGTACATTCACAGCGAACAGGGTTTTTCTCGTTCCCAGTGCATTTCTTAATCCAAATTGTGTGTCACTTATGTCCTGCTTAAGTTTTTTGTGTATTCCCCGGTGTATAATTTTTAAAAATATTTTGAGCGTATGACTCATTAAACTTATTATCCGGTGGTCTTGGCATTCTTTTGAGTTTGGTTTTTTTGGTAGTATTGTATTGAATAAGTCGACCAATATTCCAATTTGCTGTTCTTCTATTAACCGTATTATGTCTACAGGTATTTCGTCAGGACCTGTTGCCTTGTTATTCTTTGTTTGCTTTATCGCCTCTAATACTTCATCTTCTGTTATGTCTGGGCCGTTGTCGAATTTTTTCTGCTTTAGTACTATCTCAGTCCGTTCATCTTTAAATAGCTTTTGAATATATTCCTGTCATCTTTCAAGCCTTTTACCGACGTCTATAATTATTTTGCCGTTTTTATCCAGCAGTATGTTTGATTTTTTCTTAATATTAGTCCCTGTTATTTTCCTAAGTTTTTTATGAAGGTTTAAGTTATCATGTTTCTTCACCAACTGTTATATAACAATATCTTCGCATCTGTCACTATACCATCTTTCCTTTGCATCCCTGATCTTTCTCGTTATTTCTGAGTGTATAATATTATACATGTTTTTGTCTTTGGTTTTATAGGATCTTCTTACTTCTATGAGATCCAGAATCTCATCGGTGATCCATTCATTTTTATTCTTGCTCAGCTTAGATGTTAGTGTTGTCTCACATGTACGTATAAGAGCATCTTTTAGTATATGCCATTTCCTGTTCGCATCTTCAGTAGGAATAATTTCTATTTTGGTGAGCTTTTCTTTAATTTTTAGTGTGACTTGCTCTTACGTTAGTCTGGCTACATTAGTTGTCATTAATTCTAAAACCCCAAGCCAGAACGTTAGAACTCTTATGCGGCCTTTATATTATTTTGTTATTTTAATTTATACTTGGTTTTATATAAAATAATAAACAAATACATTAAAAAAATCATAAAACAGTATGTAAATTATTCTTACCCTTCACAAAGACGATAAAAGCCACAACAGCAGAGAATTTCAAAAGTTTCATTGTTTAAGCACTGACTTATGTTTGCACACAGTTTGTGTTATATAGTTATAAAGTTCTGGGAGTATCACCACTTAAGATAAATCTAATCAATAATTCTGTTTAATTTTATTATAAAAGTCTTCCAAATATCTGATCGTTATTATCTTTAGTTGTTATTTTATAAGTATTATTACACAAAATATGTACGTAAAGTTGGATAGAACTTCTTGTAAACTTATTTGTATTCATCGTATGTAATCTTGAAAAATATTGTATGTCCAAGGATTCCGATAATTCGTATCTTAAGGTTGCAAATTTAAATAAATCAAAGGAATAACACTTAATTAAAAAAAAATTAAAAATGTAATTGTTCTTCGAGATGTAATGTTGGAAAAGAATACTGTGCATAATTTTGACAGCTCATCGCACAAATGTTTTTTCCTCTACATGTCAGCTACCGACTATATCGCTATCCACTACATGTCAGCAGGAATTTCAACAGTCAGGTGGTTAGAAAAGGTGAGGACAATTTGAAGACATTAATTGTTTCTGGAACCGTTCCGGAGAGAAGACCAAGAGGACGGTTACCAACCGATTATTCTGCGAAACACTTAGATTAGTGAAAGATAGAGACCACTGCAGAAAATGTGTTAGGAGTATTGGAGGAAATCAAGACCTCGAAGTATTAAGTTTCATTTTATAAAGTAGACTTTTGGTAAGTACATTTTTATTTTTTTTTTTATTTGTCACTGTTTATTCCCATATATTAATAATTTTGTAAAGTTGTACATTTTTTATTTTGTTTGTGGAAGCTTGCGTCGAGCTTTCAGGTAATATGTTTATAATTGAAATACAATAGTTAAACTCATAATTGTAAAAATCGGACATTATATTTATATAAAATTTTAAAACGGGAATTTTATAGAATAAAAATTACCGCCCGATTTCATAATGACAACCTAAATAAACCTTAACTAATCTTTACTTTAGAATAAATTGCACTTTAGTGTCACACAAGGTTTAAGAATATCTAGAGCGCTTTTCATTATTAAAACTAAACTTGAATGTTTAAATTATTATTGTATCGAATCAGATTCGCTGCTTCTGTTCTACCATCTTGTCTAGCCATGTCATTAAATAATATTTCAAACTCTAACCACTCTCGCCTGCTATAAAAAATATTACAAACCTAACAAAGGCTCTAGCTTCAAATTTTTGTATGTCGATATTGTTAAATATTTTTTTATCGTGTACAGAACTCAGCCATCATGCAAAAATATTTCTAATTGTTTGTTTTTACATTTGTTGCAAAAATTTACAATTCATATTAAAGTACAAATAACTGCAGCTATACATCTTAAAAATAATAGAATGGTATAAAACTCTTCTTCAACTTATCCGTTTATCAGTTGTTTAATACATTTTAATGTTCTATCTGCTTAATGATACAATTGCTGTAAAATTCTTTCGATAATACTTTAAACTGTTGCCCTCAAAATACCCAAATAGTCAGCTACTGATATTTGCATGTTACCAGAAGCAAAAATCTTAATGTTAATAATAACTGTTAAACTGGTGTAACAGCTTCTCCCCTAAGAATATTTGCTGATTAATATTTCCTCTATATACATTTGAACATTATTGTTGTTGGTTTGACTTTTTGTCCACCAATGTTAATGTGATGACAAATTTTAATATAATATCTTTATAGTATTTTATACCACTTTGTTCGAAAGTTTAATTAAAGGTTCGATCTGTTCAACTAAAGACATAACTGTTTTTTTTTTTTTTTGTTCAAATGAAAGCTTTCAAAGGAACATAAATCACCGTATTATTCTAATAAATTAGTTCTTTCTCTATAAACTTTTAAGTGGCGTACATACATAATTTCGTTTTCTAAGAAATTCGAACTTGAAGAAGTATCAGCATTATTTTAAACTTGAAAAAGTAACATTTTAAACAAACTTGATCCAAGTCAAAGACGATTGTCAGAATTTTGAGGTTAAAGTAAACTTTACAAGTTAATTGATAGATTTCTACCATTTAAGCTAAAGTTGGGAAGTAGTATTATGAAACTGAAATTTACACAAAAAGGACACTTTCAATTTAATGTTTACTTTCAATTGATTATAAAATCGGACGTTTTTAAACAGACGAGTCAATAGTGTTATTAATTAGATGACTTTTAGTGTATAATGATATGAAGAGTAGTGAATCGATGTGAAGACCGCACTTTAGTGCGCTACCTCGTGGCGCTAGTTCGAAAGGCTCTTCTCAGCATTTTACTATAGAGACAGAGTAGTACAATGCCAATATTTAAGCTTCGTTTTAAAAACGGTGATATTGATACACAATTTATTGAATGCACACATTATATATTACATCGATTATTTGTACATTGTACACAAAAAAATATATTTATTAATATAAGTAAAATCTATCGACATTTATATATACTCGTTATCTTGACACCATTGTACTAGTTTCCATATTTTTCCGTTGAGCCACCAATCTGTATTAAGTTTTTCTTGAAGAAAATCACCAACAAATGTATTCGGTTTGCTAAGGTCTGTCATAATGGTGTAGTTAAATACAGATTCGAAGAGATCGTCCATGCCTGCTGGTTTTGCGTGTATAATAGGCTAAAACAGAGTATCATTAGAATAAAAAACAAACATAAATCGTTGAGTTTAAAAATGCAAACAAATGTGAGGTCATTTTAACTATCAAAGTTTGACAGTTAAGAAGTTTGTAAGAACAGGTAGGACGCACTGGTCGTAAACCCTTGTTTTTGTTCAATATATTAGAGAATTTACCAAATGCTGCCCAAACCAATCAGCATCTTTCTTTAATATCCTCCTTATGCTTTTCGTTGTTCAGTTGTGTGATATGCCCCAAGTATAAATTTCATTTAATTAATTTACTAGTTCTAAGACGATTCTATGTATTTGTTCTACTGGTTTCTCTTGATTCGTTCTCTATTTCGTCAACTATTTAATCGTTTTTAATATTTACCATAGTTTTCCTAGCCTACTTATCTAAATATATCATCAAGCTGTAACGATGAGTCCAAGCCATCACCGTTAAACCAGCGTGCGCGCGAACCAACCCATGAAGTAGGAGTATATCGACAGTAGAAAGGGCAAAACTAATTACCAAGCTCCGCTATATAAACCGCAACATTTCCTCATAGCAGGAGAATCGACAGGTGTTGACTGAAGGTTCTCTTCTTCCCTACCCCGGCTTGTGGACGTGTTGAGTTCACAAGTTGTTCCGTCCCATACCGCCGTTACCCGAAGAGCGTGTTGATCTCTTCACTACCCATACTCTGAAGCAGTCGTGTTGAGACTGTCGAGGAGTGTCCTGTTAATCCGAATCACTTAAGGGACGTGTTGAGTTCCTTTCCTTTCTTTGTACCTATCGTCCGCTGTTATTAAATCGATACAACGTTCCCGTAAAATTTTAAATACACATTCGCTTGCCGATAAAACTAATTTCATATGACAAGGTCAAACTTAATTTGAATAAATAGGCCAGGTACTGAGAAGACGAAACCAAATTGTAAATATGTACATAAGATTTTTGTCAATTTAAGTTAAGGAAGACAATAAAGTTTTATTTTTGTTTTTTACTCTGTCTCTGACTGTCTAAAAGCTACCCGGATAGTGACTCCTACGAGAGGACATCACAAAGCGCTTGTTAAAACAGTTTGGTGTTATGGTGTCTCCCTTTCTGACGCATCGGATTATTTTTATTGACTTTTTACTAATTTAATTGTTGTTTTATCGTAGACATTAGATATTATGTCTACATATCTATAATCATTTCTTTGTGACCATTGCTGTACTGTTACGAATAATTTTTTAAAATCCACGAATGCAATAATCTTTTGTTATGTAATACGCATATTATCTGATTTTGTTACATTTCCAAAATAAAAACGCAGCATTTATAGTAATTTGTTGATATAGGTTTGCTTACTACTTTTTTCGGTGCCCCGTATTTTATGGGTGCCCTAGTACGTGTACTAGGTGTCGATAAAAAAAAATGTATGTTCGCGATTAGTTCTCCACGAAAAATATAGCAATAAGAGATCTAAGCTCCAAGCTGAGATTGGGTAAAAGGAAATGGTTAACGATATCAACTATTTCAAAATAAGGAGATATAATAAAAACATTTTTGACATCAAACATTTGGAAATAACTAAATGACTGAGAAAACTAAAGTTTTATTAAAAAGCTTACTCAAACAACTAAGACTACTTACCAAGAGACGTTGTGCACGCCAACTGATTTGAAGATCATTTATTTGTTCAGGAGTGTCTTGGTTCGGTTTGGTGACATTAATAGAACCAGTCCATTCATTGGTGAATAGTTTAAGCCTGCAAGTAAGTTATACATGAGATAGCAACTGCTAAATTTAGACAGTCGACGAAATAAAGCATAGTTATAAACGTTTGTGAGATTTGTTTCATCAATAAATAGGGAAAACTGATATAATAAGATATCCCAGAAAATTTAATTTTTTATTATATTTAGATCATACGATAATCATTTTTTACTTTTTTAACCATGGTGTCATGCTCTTTAACTCAGATTAATTAATCTTCGTCGATGCAAGGTACAATTCGGTGTTGAAGTAGTGTAGATTTTTTTTATTTAAATTAATGTGTCTTGGCTGCAATGGCCACTGACACAAATAATATTGTGTACAATAATTATAATATGAATAGGAATTGCTACAGTTAATCTATAAGCTTTAAATAAGAACCTATGACTATATACAAGTTTTATCACTAAGTTATAAGTTTAAAGGTAAAATACATGGAAAACAAGGGGTCATATCCTGTTAAACAACTAATTCTCTTTCAAGAAACCAATTAGGTTAAAGATTTGATCGGAAAAGTTTAAAACTTTTTTAATATTTGACTTAAGTTTATGTTGCACTCTGTGTTTCGCGTAACGGGGACACTCGATAAGAATGTGTTTCACAGATAATACACTTGATCAGATTTGGCAATTGGGATTCGGCTGGGACTAGATTTTTTTATAAGTAGTCATGTGTATATCGGATATGTCCAATTCTTAATCTTCGGATGACAACTTTTTCTTTTCAGAGATTGTTGGAAGTTCAAATGTTTCAACAGTCTGCCGGATCTCATGTAATGTACTCTTGCTTCTGTTCCAGTGGGTTTGCCAGGTATGGTAATACCAGGTAATACCAAGTAGGTATTTGCTTTAAATCACTACGGATTTTAATATGTTGAATTTTTGAGTATTGACTGTCTACGTAAGAAGCTTGTTTGGCAACTTGGTTTCCTTTTTTATTACTAGAGATCTCGATGTGAGGTGGCAGTCAGATGAAAGTGACTTTTACACCTTGAGAAGCGAGTATACCGTAAGTTCTATGGATTTCTTGAACTAAGGGATGCTGAGCATATAGACTTTTTATCGACTGTAGAGACGAGAGGGAATCTATGCACATGCTTGGTTCTTATCATCGGCTTTTAGCTTTTTAAAAACTTCTAGTAGCACATACAGTTCTCCAGTCTATATGCTGCATAAATTCCGTAATAAAGATGGTTATTCTATTATTTCATCACATGTGGTAACGGCACATCCAACGCCTGCTTCGCTTTTGGATGCATATGTATTATATATTTGTTTTGGAATTGGTTCCTGCTTATGATCTCTTTGAAGCATTCCTTATGAGAAGGCTTAGAGTCACATGTTTACTGTATGTTAAGGGAAAAGTAAGTAACTGTGGGATTGGTCTATTCCAAGGAGGAGTGTTCGGGATTGGAAAAGGATGTGTTTTAGTAAGGTCGATGGTTTTTTGCAGAGTTCATTTCTGGGTCTTAATTATTGATAGGATCATTTGCGGGGTCTCTGGAGGAGAAGTTGAGGTAGTTAAACGATAGACTGAATTGAATGGATTTGCGAAAACGGAAGCAAAGTAAAATTGTTTAACATACTATGGTCGAATCCAAAGAGTTGGTTCATTAGCCTCTCAGTAAAGGCTGTCTATGGGACTAGATTTAAAAGTACCTAAGCAAAGACGAATGGAAGCGTTCTGCACAGAGTTCAGTAGCTGTAAGTCAGATTTTGATGTAGATATGTGTATGAAGCTGTCGTAGTCCAGTTTTGAGCGGATTAGATTTCAATATACAATAAGTAATATGCGTTCGTCCGCACCCCATGTGTACTGTGATAGTGCCGTGATGATCTTGAGTCTCTTCGTTGCATTGCTCTTTATTACGCTAATATGCTGTTTCCAAGTTAGCCTACTAGCAAACGTTAAACCGAGTATTTGACTGCAGTCTTCTGCTAAACAGAAGACCTGATCTGCAGATCTTGTTTATTTAAAATAGCAGAAGCTATTTGTATTTATAATAGCTCCAAATTGTCAAGAGCTGAACGGTGACATCTAAAACAGGATTGTACTGAGTCATTTATTATATATTTTTCAAGAAGCCATGTTAATCTTGAATTAATCATTTTCTCGAATAGATTACAAAATAAACAGGCTAGTGAGATAGATCTGTATTATTTTGTTTAGTTTGCGAGTAAATAGGCTTTTTTTAATAGTATGATAATTCACCCCACAGTCTGGGTAATTGCTGAGTATGCCATATCCTGTTATAAAGATCAAGCAGTATTGCTGGAAGTGATTCAGTGAGGCTATAATGAGATAAATTTTTGATAAATATAATTGAGATGTTATCTGGACCAGCGGCGGAGTTTGTACAAGAAGCTAGTGCAAGTGCAAATTCTTTGTATGCAAAAGGGAGGTTGATAGCGTCAATTCAGGGTTAAATTAGTTGAGGAGCAAAAGGAGTTTGTATATTCTAGTTATTTGGACTTTCATTATATTCGAGTTCAGATATAAATTTCCATGCAAAACTTTCAGCCATGATTTGAGCAATGATTTGGTTATCTGTTTTAACTTTTTCATTTAGTGATATTGCTGGAATTTTTGGAGGTGTACGACATTTTATTTGTCTTATTTTTGTCCAAACTTGAGATGGTGGAGTATCACTAGTAAGTGTAGAAACAAAATTTTGCCAGGAATCCTGTTTGCTTTTTTAAATGACATATTTTGCTTTGGCTCTTAGCTTTTCGAAACAGATCAAGTTTTCTTGACTTCTGTTCTTTCGATATCTGTTGAGGACCATTTTTCATGACTAACAGTTAGTTCACATTCTCAACTCTACCATGGTACTGTTTTTTTTATATGGACATATGGTTATATTTTAACATGATTTTCTGCAGCCATAATAATGCAGTTATTAAAGAGAGTTATAGCCTCGTCTATATCTTCAGGTTCTTTCTAATGAAAGATGATTTTCGGCGCTAGTCTGAAAATTATTCAGTCAGCTTAAGCGATATTCCATTTAGTATTGGTGCAACATTTTTTATTGCAATTTGTTATGATTATCCGAAAGTGGTTACTATCGTACAAGCTATCTGAAATATGCATTGATGTAAACTTGGGATCACATATGTTTAGATCTATGGAAAAGTAAGTTTCTGGCGCAATGTTAAAATATTATATATATTATAAAAGCATTATTGCAACTTTATACGGCCTCTACAGTTTTTCCTCTATTAAATGTTTTCTTAGAGTCCAACATAGTACTATGAGCGTTAAAGTCTCTAACCGGTATAAAAGGGATGGGTAGTTGGCGAATTAAATCATCTAACTTACTTTTTGTTAAATTGTAATTATATGGAATAAATGTAAGCTCTACTTGCTCTTTTGAACGTTGTACGAAGAAAATGTTACCCTTAAAAATTTTTAAGTGCATTTCTATATATTTGCTTAAAATTGATTTCTTGAAGACAGATGATATCTGCTTCTGTATTGTTAATTAATTGTTGTAAGAGTTCTAAGCGAGGGTACAACCCATCGCAGTTCCACTGCTCTAGTGTGAAAGTGTTTGATTTTCTTATAAACTGTAAATCTATTCTTGATTGTTTTATCTTCTAGTAAAGAGTATATCTTAAACATGTCGTCAAGTATTGATTGAACATTTTAAATGAACTGCTGGGCTTCTTGTAGAGGGTTATTACTTGCAAATAAATTTTCCATTGGGTGAAGGCATTTTTATACCTTCTTTGATGTGTATATTAGTAGATGTATACGAGATCGTTTCTGACCAGTTGTAGGAAGAAGAAATGTTGACCGGGAACCCTATTTTTTATTAAGTTTAATAATGCGTTACTGTTTGATGTTGAGGTAGCAGGGATGGGTCACCTGGGGACGATTGTTCATTTGAGAGAAGATTGCTAGGGAATGAGTAAATTCATCGCCGGGAATTCCGTCTTTTAGATGACACTGGTGGGACAAGTTGAAGACCTTGAAGGTGTTTTTCTATAATTTCATGATGGAGATTATGAGCCTTTTGGCTGGGGTTACCAATTTTTGTTACGGCTAGATCGTATGATTACAATCTACAGTAAAGTGAGATGCTACGTGTTTTCGATACTGCAATATGGACTTGAAAGCTGGACATTGAAGCAAAAAGGCAAAAGGATCATTAGAATAGCATGGACACAGAAGAAAACTAACACGGAAGTATTGCGAAAAATGGGCAAAGAATGCAAAATAATAAACACAATAAAAATAAGAAAGTTACAATATCTGGGACACGTAATGAGGGGACAGCGATATGAACTACTAAGGCTGATAATACAGGCAAAGATGAGAAGAGGAAGGAGTATAGGAAGAAGGAGAGTGTCGTGGTTGAAGAATTTAAGGGACTGGTTTAAATGCAGTTCTATAGAACTCTTTAGAGCAGCAGTAGATAAAGTAAAGATAGTGATGATGATATCCAACCTCCGAATGGGAGACGGTACTTAAAGAAGAAGAAGACCCGTAGTACGGGTAGTAGATTGTAATAATAGGTTATTCTATTATATTATGTTCAACAAGTTCAGGATTTGTTAAGTGGATGTATATTCAATTATTAGGAATTCTTGAGGCAAGCCTTGGGGCTAACAATGTTATATATGGCTTCGACGTAGTCGTAGAAGTAAGTGTGGTTATGCATGTATTAATATTGATTGATCTTTTTAGGGATATTTTGGGATATGAATTTGGATTATTACTGGTGACGTTTTTTCCAGACATGGTATTGTTAACTGTAGAAGAACGTTGATTTAAGTTGTCACTCATATAGTCAAAAGTTACTACTTTTGGTTTTCTTGTGATAAAGTTTCGACTTCAATGATAGGCAGCAATTGTAACGCATACGTGTATAACTGGTTGCCTGCCTAAAACGTTGCCAATATGGCAAAGAATGTCAACACATCTGAATGTTTTGGACCTAAAATTATTAATAAACAATTTCTTACTGAATAATATAATACAGCTCACTAT